AGTGCTCGGGCCAGTTGAATGGCCAGGTACAGTGAAACCAGCGTTTATGGGATTGGAAGTTCGTGAGCAGACAAATCAGTCAATGCAGTTTACTGTTAAATGTTTGCACACGCATTCGAATTATTCTTGTCTTGTGTTGATAAAATCAGCATGTATTTTCCACATTTCATTCAGTTTTAAATACCCAATAATAAGTACAAAGCACCTAATGGGCACAAGTTTTTAATTAAATATTCAAAGCCTAACCAAAGTGGATATGGGTAATCTATCGATCACAATCCAGTGTCAAACTTTTGATTGATTATCTTGAAACTTTCACCGGAATCAATAATTCGTGAGTGCCCTTAAATTTTAACCACTTTGTTGTCTGCATGTGTGATGTTTGCCAAATGCCAGCTAAATTTGAGGTGTTCTCATATGCAAGCCCCGCCGTAATTTCCGCCTTTTTACCATCGGCAAAATGGCCAAGGGCAAGTGCAGTTGAAGTAAACGTGAACGTCTGACATTTTGCAAGTTGCTTTCCGTGTCTCTCCCGTTTTTCGCATCAATCAATCTTGTTGTAATCAATCAACTTCCGTTCTTTAACACGAGTACAAGTAGTTAAAATGTCAACGCTTTCAGACAAGAAAATGCAAAACGAGCGGCAGTTGATTAAGAAATTACTCTCACCGGCGGGAAAACGCAATGATTGGAAAATCAACAATTTCTTCTTTGAAATGAACGCAGCCGGAAGTGGCAGACATTAATATTTTCCTCAAGTTTTTCCTGATTCTGGGATTTTTTTCCTCATTTTTCTCTGCACTTTGTTTATACCACGATGGAGAAAAATGTGCCGCTATGAATAATAGCCTAAAACACGGAAAAAGGTTTTGCTAAAATATTATTTTTAGAGTCAAACATGTAAAATTATTTATACAATATCTGCTGTATTTGTTTAATAAGCGAAAACAATTTTAGTAAGGATAGCTCAATTCTTATCCTTACTGATATTTGTTATCCCGTAAGTCAGCGGTTTTCAAAGTAAAAAATAATTTAAAAAACAAATAATGGGACAAAAATGTAATTGCAAATGAGAATAAAAAAAAAATCTAACAAAAGTGCGTCAGTTTAAAAGATTACAAAAATAATTATTAAATTTATTTAAAATGAATAATCCTTTTAAATAAATACTGGGCAGACCAAATGCCATAATTTTTTCTCAGTGAAAGGCATAAAGATTCGATTTTTTGGGGGAAGAAGAAAAATGTAAACAAAATTGGGGCCACGTTGGGTGGGGAAACGCAAAGCACACGCACCCGCCCACATCGATGGAAGATACTAAATGCTCTATATGCATATGGCTAATGGATATGGGGCCCCAAATGGGACTCGCATTATGGTTGCCGTTGTGTTTTACGGCTCTTCCTCGTTCCTCGTTCCTCATTCCAGCTGAAATCGAAATGAGACGACTTCGGACTACTGACTGACTCATTGACAAATAGCATTGAACTGCAGGCGTTGTCTGTTGGTCTGGTTTTTCATTCATGCCAGCACTCCCCATTCTGCCTCCCAGCGCCTCACGAACGCATACATGCGTGTGTGTGCATACACATATAGCGGTATATATAGTGGGTACCACATATGTATTTATAGTACCCCAGTCAGTATCTCTAGTATCTGGCATTGTGCAACGGCCGGCTGCATGCATTTGCCAGACCAGAAAGCACCAGATTCGACCTGGGTGCGAGTAAACAACATTTGCCCAGCGCAGGCACACACTGCGTATGCGTAATATCGATTTCCTCAACTTCGTTGAACTCCTCCCCCAGCACGTCGGCTAATAGCTCGCAATCCCTTCGACAAACAATTCGAAAACTCCTAAAGAAAAAAGAGCCACGGCACATGGAATGCGGGTGAGGAATTTGTGTGCCGAGAGTGATTAAAAAGGCATTGTGAGCCCCGGGAATGGGACGGGATCGGGATAATGTGGAAAAATGCAAAGTCAAATAGCTTTGAAATTCCACTGTACATGCTACGAAAACATGTGGACATTTGAAGCTGTAAAAAATGTACAGAGTATTAGATATTTTGAAACTGTTTGTTGCTATTGAGAAATACGGCGGGGTAATGGCATCTATTCTTATTTTGTTTCATCTTTTTATTTTTATTTTTTTAATTTAAACGCGTAAAATAAATACTAATTTCATGTTGAAAATATCACAAACTTATCTCTTAACCTTTATCCTGCTCAAAAAGTAAACAACCGAACATTCGCTTTGAATTTCTCCGAAAGTTGAAAATCCAATTCCAAATTTCCGCGGAAAACTTTCGAAAGCGGCGTAAACAAAACCATATAAATAGATGCGGGGATAGAAATGTTCGCTCCGTGTCGTGTTCCGCTGGATGCATGTGTTCAACTTCCGGCTTGGGGCTCCGCGGAATCCATCAATGGGCTAAACCCAAACCGACGTACGTGTCTCGATTCGCTGGCGATCCGGGCATGGACTCGGCTTGGTTTTGGGGTCTGGTTGCGTATCGGGCTCTGCATCCAGTGTTCCACTTAAGGGATCTGCGTCATCTGAAACCGCAAATGAATTAAACAAGGCACACACTCGAAAAACGCCCACAGAATGGCAAACCATACAAGGGCTCCCCCCTCGAAAAACACTTCTCTAACTGTTTTCATGCGGCAAAATAGAAAAAAAGCGTAGAAAAACTCGCCTACGTCATATTCCCAACGGATATGACGGCAAAAACAAAAAAAAAAAGTAGAAACGAAAAGGGGTGAACGAGGGGGTTTTGGGGCGTTGGGGGTTCTGAAGTGGTACCTGTGAATGAATTGCGCTGCGGTTGTGGGTGTGCGCCCGTATCTGTGTGAGCGTTGTATCTGTGTGCGCGTTGTATCTGCGGCACTGTTGAAACCCAGCGAAGTGAGCTAAAAGTTATTTAACTCACGTTTTGTCTTTTTTGCGGTCGTTGTTATTTTTTATATTTACACACGGAGATAAACAAAGCCAGCGAGAGAGCCAGATAAGCGGAAAAAATAAAAATAGTATACAAAGGTTATACATACTATAATTAAAAACAAACAAATAAAAAGTAGCAATGAATGAGTGGAACAAATCTTTCCACAAAACTGGCATGCCAACATAATTATTTGAACAAAACTTTATAGTGTAACTTTAGAAAAAACATTAGAGAAAATATAATCTTATACAACAATACTAAATTAAATAGTTAAGGTAAAAAATGAAATCAATTAGGGACAGCATTGGGACAATGTCTATGAGTTAATTTTGGCGTAAAAACCTTTAAAAGCCAATAAAAAAACAATGAATGAGTGAAACAAATCGCTTAAGCCCCCAAACTTTGTCTCCTGTTTTATACAGCAATACAATTATAAATAATAACAACAAATTTGGAAGTTGGTCCGTGGGCGAGTTTGATGAGCTGACTTAAGTGGGTTCGTGGCTAACTGACTCGGTGGGTGGGTGCTTTCAGTCCAGATGTGCTGATGTCGCCAAAATCCGGTTTTCTAACAAATATGAAATATACTCTAAGCATTTTTGTTTGCTCCTATTTAGTTTACGCTTTGTTCAGCTTAGCAATTTGTTGACGCGCTTTTTTTCAAGTTTACATTTTCAACGTTTTGAAGGTCGTTTCCACTGCTGTTCACGATTGTTTTTGTGGTTTTGTTTTTTCTTTGTTTTGTGTGAACTCATCAATGAAACAATCCAAACACAAAAGCACTCACAAGTGTGACACAGAACGTGACAAAAAAAAAACAGTATAGCCATATAGATAATCGCATACACTCACAGAAGTGTGTGTAATTTTAACCATATGAGGGTAAAACTAGAGGAAATCGAGGGGGAACGATTGCCATATGGGCAGACACAAATTGTAAGTTATATGACGGTTAGTTTATAATAGGGAAAGTTACCTGGACGGGATTTCAAATATGTAAGAAGAAGGTTACATATTCTGAGTTATATGGGAAGAGATTTAGGATACAACTTAAAAACTAGCATATAAAAAGAATGAAAAAACTTAAAACTTAAGTTTAACTTTGCAAACTATTAGTGTGTTTGGGGTTCCCCTTAAAAATCTCGTTTTCTTATCACTGAAAGATTACTTGCCAACACGAAAACTTCATTGTTTATAATTTCTGCATTTTGGCAGGAGACCAAATATAAAAAACTTAGGGTGCAGCACACCCTTTTATTCCATCTATGATATTTATATTGAACCATTTGATGGAGCAAAGTTTGAGGAGGAAATGGCTATCAAATGCAGTTTTACATTTCATGCTCGGGATTGATACCCATGGCCATGGCCGCTGCGTAATCGGTGTAAAAATAGCTCCCCTACGGCTTTCCTGCCTTTCAGCTTTCCCGTATCTTGGTCTATATTTAAAACCAGCAGCAGGTGCAGATTGAGCCAGTGAAGTGCGTATACCACCCGTTGGCCGACCAACTAATAAATTAATAAGTTAATGATGAGTGAACTCTTTTCTGCGCCTACCGCTTTCCGGTTTCATTCAATTCGCAGTTTTTCGCATTTAATATGCGCCAAGTAGAAAATTGTGAGCTTCCGTTTGGTTTGCCCTTTTTGATGACAGTTCCCATACCAATCTCCAGCCTGTAAATATAGAAGCAGCATTTCCGTTGCCGCACTTCCGTTTCCAACTGGAGAAATAGAAGAAATCCCTCATTTCCATTCCCCCAAACCCTTTTCACTCACTTCTCTTCCTCTTTTTTCCCCTTTTTATGAATGATTCGCTTGCAAGAATTTCACGCATACGTGGTTTAGGCTGGGTTAATAGCAGCAACAAGTCGTGTAGGTGTTGCCTTACCAAAGACGAAAGACCAAAAGCTACACTTGGCCAAGCATAACGAACGTCAAATTCCAGTGGCCTCAAATGACACGCTGGCCAAAAGAGGACAGAGCGTTTATTTAAGCAAACAGCTCAGCTCGAAAAGCATTCTAATGTTTCCCCTTTCTATTTACCTATCTTGCAGATGGCTTCTCCAGTTTTCGCCAGGCATTTCCAGAGTGGTGCGAGGACGATAATCAGGCGCACAACAAGGAAATGGAATCTAGTCGCAACGTACAGACCGATCAGTTAATGGGTCTAAGGTGAGTAAAATATCTTGATCAAACAACTTGCAAATGTATGCGAAAGTTATCTGGAAATATAGTAGTGGTTTAAGTCTCACTTTTGATTACCCCAAAACTCATGTTCATGTACTTTTCAGATCCCTACGCATTTCCACGTCGCATTCCGATTCTGCGTGCAGCAGTTCGGCAGAATCGTCGGATTGCGAGAGTACCGGCCACCATCACCACCACCACCATCATCATAATTTCAACGAGGCGCCTGTGGAGATCATCCCGGGGCTGCTGTTCCTGGGAAACGCCTCGCACAGCTGCGACTCGAATGCATTGCAAAAGTACAATATTAAGGTGGGTTCTACTGGGTTTACCTTCCCCCTTTGGACAATTACTAAATCATTTAATTGTGCTCTTGCAGTATGTGCTGAATGTGACACCGGATTTGCCAAACGAGTTCGAGAAGTCCGGCATCATCAAGTATCTGCAAATACCCATAACCGACCACTATTCACAAGATTTGGCCATGCATTTCCCAGATGCCATACATTTCATAGGTAACGCGAAATTTTTCTTAAAAGAGCTATTGTCTTGTTTGGAAAGTCAAAGGAATTTTAATTTAATTCTATATTTTATTTATTTAATAATATATAATGCTTAAAGAACTTTTATATAGGTACCCTAAGTCTTACAAATATATTTTAATGATAATACATATTCTTGGTTCTAAATTTGCGTTCTAAAAAGCTTGTTTTAAAAGTAAAGAAATACCAGTTTAAGTTTTCTTGTCACTTGAATACAAAAAGCAAACGTTTTTCTAAGCTGCGAAATGATATCATTTACTCAGTTTACCATTACCATTTGAAATAGTCAAACAAGATAAGAAGGAGAGTTGCATTTTATAATATCATTCTGATTTGTCGACTCCAAGCTAATGCTCTGTTTCTTTTCCGAATCCACAGAGGAAGCGCGGTCCGCGAACTCGGCGGTGCTGGTCCACTGCCTGGCCGGAGTTTCGCGGTCGGTGACCGTGACGCTCGCCTACTTGATGCACACCCGGGGCCTGAGTCTCAACGACGCCTTCATGATGGTGCGGGACCGGAAGCCGGATGTGTCGCCCAACTTCCACTTCATGCAGCAGCTGCAGTCCTTCGAGAGCCAGCTCCGCCTGAGTCCCGGCGACGGACAGGCGATGGACGAGTCCGGGATGATGGGCAGCAACGTGACCCTCGGCCTGGGGCCCGCCTCCTCCGGATCCATGGTCAAAGTGCTGGCCACGAATCCCAGTGTGGTGGCCTCGCGGTGCGGTCGCGGCTCCAAGTTCTCGTGCAACTGCATCGCGCCGGACTGCAAGTGCATGCAGACCGGCGGATACATGGCCGCGCACTTGGCCAAGGCCACCGGGGTCTCACCCGACTCCGGCATCGAGTTCGACCGCTGGACGCCGTCCTCGGACACGGGTCTGAAATGAGAGCAGCTGGGCGGTAAGAGTTTCGTGCTGCCGCCGAGCCAGGAGATCTTGGCCGCAGCCGTTGCCACATCGCCGCCGCCCATCTGCCTGGCAGTGAATCCGGATAACATGTCCCCGGCCAGCACCACCAGCTCCTCCACCTCGACCACCACCACCGCGGAGGCTGTGTCCGTGGTGGAGGTGGTGCAGCACCGGGATCAGGAAATGGCCGAGGAGGACATCGAAATCGGAGGAGAAGACGACGAGGCGGCTTAGGCGGCGGAGCCATTTCCATCTCCAACTCGGTTGTCGTACGCGACTCAACCGCTAATACATACGATACATATGAGCCGCTTATTGAATAGGGGTACCGATTCAAACTTTAAGGAATGTACAAAGTCTTGAGGAAATACCCAACGTACACATAATAATTAATACCACATAAATTAATGTTTAGTAAACTGCTAAGGTCAAAAGCAAACAAATCCAATGTTATCCACACGCAACCAACTACAACTATACAAAATGAAGGGAAAACTAAAATATATAAAATATATTTATATATACGCAGTGTACATGTTTGTATTTAACTCCTAAGCCAAGTCAAGAGAATAAATATACGGAAGCCGAAACAGAAATAAACAATTAATCTTTAATCAGTTTTTAGGCATATAGTTTTATTTTTAGTTTTAATTTTTACTAAAACTCGAATTCGTTTATAAATGTAAAAGTTGTTAGACGCGAAGAAGAAGCCCCCTAATATAAATATACCTTCCACATAATTACCGAATGCCAAGTCATATAAGTGTAAAGTGAACTAAAATACCGAATATCGAAGAATTTTTAAAATTGAAAAAAGAAAAACACTAAAACATGGAAAATAAAAAACAACCATTTGCACAAAACAAATAACCACACAAAAAACCTTTGCCAAAAGCAGAACATTTTCTATGGTTTTTTAAGGGTGGTCAGAGAAATATCGGCCATAAAAGTTAAGACATATTTTAGAAGTTTTGAGAACCTGTCTAGATTGTAGGACAAGCCGATTGATCACATACAATTATTTTCTACAATTGAAATGTTAAAGTTGGTGAACAGCCAGATGGAATGATATGAAAAGATTAATTTGTTATGTAATGGATACGAATAAAGTTGTATGTCAGCTGATTTCCAGTCAGGCAATGTTGGTACAAAATTTTATCAGGTGACGTTTCAAGAAACAAAATAAAACCAAACTAAATCTAAAGAATGGTTTTACACTTAAAACAAAAACAGAAAACAACCACAAAATAAATTCCCAGAAACTTTTTTGGAAAAATAAGGCTGTGCGCAATATGAAAACAATATATATAATTGTAGGGAAAGCAGAGATTTAATACAGAATTTGATAAAAAAAAGGTTGATATGGTAGATTGGATTGGTTAGTTGGATTTATAGGGAGGTGAACAACTTTCTTTAGCCCATGGCTAGATGTTGTTTCTAGCCAAAGCTCGACTGATTCGATTTGATAAAGATGGAAGGGATAGTGACGTGGTAAGTGAAGAGGTCAGAATATTCTAAATTTTAAAGCTCAGGAACTAAGTGCAACCCGAAATCGGTTGTGGGAGTGCAAAGAATGATGGTTTGGGGAATAGAAAACAATTCCATTTGGGGAAAGAGATCCCATTAAAGATGCGAGTGCTAGGTCCATAAAACTCATTCATCTAATCCATTCCATAGAAATGAAGTCCACTTTAAGGAGTTTTTATTGTACAGCAACCTGGAGCTCCGACACGGAGCTAGTTTTGATTAGAAAATGGCTTTATTTAAGCAAACGAATGAGTTTTGATAAGGCAGCTAAATACGGATTGAAGTTCCTGTAAAAAGGGGAAGCTTGCTAAGCTAACAGCTCTAGCCTATAAGATTTTTGCAGTGGTAGCCCATACGATTTTGAACGAGCTTTCCCAGATAAGCGCCAAAAAAACTGGGAAAATAACAAAGCATTAAAAAGTTTAAAATGCCAATTTAATGTTGAAAGCCTCAGTCAGTATAAAATAACGAACAACATGATTATTATCTATTAAACGGCATTGAACACGTTTTTTAAACCAAATACGAATAAAGAAAGCTCCCAAGAGCCCGTAAATATTTGTGCGTCAAACTTTTTGCCACCTAATAATTAAGATAACAGAAAATGTATAAACAAATGTTTGCTGATCCATGTGACAAATTCCAATTTTTTTAACAGCACAAGGCGATCCACTCTTTACAAGCGAATGCGAAATGCGAAATGGAATCGAAATTTGGCTGCCTGGCAGCGTATTTGTGGCTCATGCCCTCCAAAGTAGGCGTGGCATGTGCCCACTTGCTGAGATTATTTTTCTCCTTTGGTTTTTGTTAGCGTAAGATTAACAATTTTACATGTTGTACATCTGAGTGTTAAATTTTTCCATCGATGTTTAGCACCAAGATAAAGAAAAATTGAAGCGACAGTGCCAATAAAAAATAAACACACCTACAACCAAAAGAATTAAATATGAATAACGAAAAGCGATATTGTACCTTGAGAAAGTCTCAGAAACAAGATTTGTGGTGGTAGCAACCAACAAACACCCTGCTTCAAACAAACAGATCGATAAATAGTCGAACAATAAAGAAGACCCCTTCTCTCAACGTTTTAGGATGAATATTCTATAGCTACCTAGTTGTGTTTTGCACATTTTGTAAACTTTACAACACAATGAAAGAAAACCGAATATATTAATATTTAACAGCCCCGCAGCGTTATATATAACGATATATATACTTATACAGGATACGAAAACTTAACTAATAAAACCGTTTTTAAAACCCGTGAAAAAGTTGCAGTTTAAGTCTTGTGGTATTTTGTAAACATTTATTTCAAACAAGTGAGTAAATTAGTCCTAAAATCAAACACATAACGAGTTAGTAAGTCTAATGGCTCTAAAAAGCAGTTTTCGTTGAATTTATTTTTATTTTGAATAAATGTGTCTTGAGAAATATCGTCATTGTTCAATGTTCAGATCTTTTTATTGATACTTTTGGGGATTTTGATGTTATAAAAAGCAATTCACAATGATAAGAAAATGTCTAAAATAATATGAGCATTTTATCAGCTTTAGATTATTACTTTTAAATATAAACCTTTCGCATTACCAAACGACCTGAACACAGCTTAGAACACATTAAGTATTTGCCATGTTTAGCTTTCTGTTTTGGGCAATTTTGATCAAGTTTTATAACTGAAATTCAGTTAAAAAGGTGTTATTTTGAAATCAATCTTTTTAATTAAAATCATTTTTAAATAGTAAAAGTTTGAACATTAATTTTGAGTACAGTTGAGATTCTTTCTAGCTTAGCGACTACCACATATGACACGATACAAGGAACAACTGCACAACATTGCGCGATCTGATACAATAAATGCTACAAAAACATGACGAGAACGAAAACCACTAACACATTATTGTCTTCCCAAGCCAATATCCAGTTGATCTTACAGACCCTTGTTGAAGTAGACATGTTCGGGCACTTTGCCTTTAGTTTTCTTCTCGATCTCCTCATACAGTTCTGGCTCAAAGGTGCGCATGGTGGAGGTGTCCAGGGAGCATTGTTGCGGAAACAGTGCGCAGGCAGTGGGCACCATGAAGCACAGGCTAAAATTAATAAAAATTAAATTACTTTAAGAAATAGTTTAAGAGGAATGAGTTACTTACAAACAGCCAACCATGAGGGTCTGGAAGGGAGCGTTAATCCACTTGACGCGTCGGTAAGCAGGCAGTTTCTCCAGCCTCTCCATTATTAGTGGCAGCACCAGCATTCCCGGCGCCGCCATCGCGATCCTGGAGACAACCACCTCGCCAATTCCCTTGATGGCGGCCAACCTACTCTGGCCCACAATCTCTCCGTCCGCATTTTTCACCTCAATGCCATTAAGTATCTCATTCTGACGCATTAGCGGAATGTTGACAAAGTTGGCCGCCGCCACAGCCGCGAAGGGCACAAATCTTTGGAAAAGCGGACTAGCTTTCTTCGACCAATAGTTTTTGCATCCGATGGCGGCAATAAGAGCCGATGTCGTGGCCGATACATATGCCACGCCCAGCTGCGTAACACTGGTGGGCGAATTGGCATTGCGATTCGTGTAATTGACCACCGCATTGAAGGACTGATTGATGAACTGCCAGAGAACCACAGCCGGAACGGTGCGGTAGAAGGCCAGCATGCCGCCCGTGATTAACATGCCGCCGGGCACCTAATGGGGCAGAAACACAAAAGCATTTGGTTAAACTGTTCAACAAAATAAACAACAAGCACAACAATTATAAGGCATAAAGCAATATTAATTTTTTTCAGATATAACGAGTTGTAAGTATGTAGTAGTAAGGCATTAAATATTAAAAAAAATATTATTAACTTTTAGTAGAAAATGTAATAACTTGTATACTTTTTTTATATCCAGAAATCAAATCTTTTTTTTTTTTAATAATAGATAAAGATAATAGACAGATAAAATCTCATTTAAATGTTTTTACACTTAAGAGACTAAACAAATCTAGTTTTTATAACCTCAGTGGTATTTTTATAAATTTTAACCCCTGAAATCTCACTTAATCAGATAAAATCCCATTTAGTTTGAGATTCCTTGCTGTCTAGTCTTGTATTCGTGCTCCCCCAGTACTTTTGGCAAACTATTCACACTCGTCCGCAGCCGAGGATTCTATTTTCAGCACCCACGTGCCAAACACATCACGAGACTTGCCTGAAAACTCATTCGGCCGCAAAAGTTCTGCAGCTCGCCAGTATCCGGATGGAATGCGGAGTTGTACAGCTTCATGTTGTAGTACACTTCCTCCTGTTTCAACTGCGGCGATTGATCACCTTTCCGGTAGCGTTCCATCATGGCTTTGGCTTCGAGCAGACGCTCGCTGGAGACGATTACGGTCCGAGGATCCGTCATCCAGGCGAAATACTGGAAGCGCCCAGCAAAGGTGCTGAGATCGAACAGCGGCTTGTCCACATCAATAAGGGCTAAAAAAGTTGTCGGTTATTTAGTTGGGAAATTATTTATCTTTTGTGGTATCACAAAAATCCAAATTTGTATCCTAAGTTCGAAACACTCATGAAAACTTATTATTAAATCTGGTAGCGGTTAAGATTTTATTTTTGTTTGCGATAAAATTGAAAATAGAGCAGAGAACAAGAAAAGATTTTGTTTACTATATATTCGTAAAAACATTTAGAGGCTTAAGGTCAGACGTTTTTTATATTTTTTAAAAGTAGTGTCATTAAGTTAATCCCTTAAGCACCCCATAAAAAAAAGCGTTGGACAATTCAGACTACATATGTAGGTGACTAGACTCTTTTTTTAGTTTTAAATTTTAATCGCGTTTTCTTAACAATTAACAACAATCTTTAGCTTCGCTTTTTGGGATGCTAATTAGTTTCTCAATGAAATTATAATTTTAACAGCTAATGCCACTTATGTGTAAACACCAGAGTAGAAAAATTTTTAAGCTTTAGACCGAAATTAATTGGATTTTCGTTACACCACCGTTTTGGTTTGAGTTTTAATTGATTCTTACTTGATACTTGCGACATTTTGGCAGTTAACTTGCTTAGCCGTTTGTAATTGCGAGTGGCTTACGTAAGCAATAACTGTCAGCTGTTGCCGGTTTGTTGCGGCTTGTTGTTGTGGTTTGTGCTTTTGGCCGGATTCACCTTAGCTGTTTGCTTAGGGCCGAGTTAACAGCAAATGATTTTGTTTCAGTTTCAGCCACGCACCCGATCTGCCAGCTGTTCTTTTCACTTTTTCTGCTTAGTAATGCAGTTCAAATGGTTTTTTATGTATTGTTCTTGTCGTTTTTTGGCAATCTTCCAAATTGCAAAAAATATGTTGTTTGTTGTCGCCGTATATTTTCCCTTTTTCTTGTTTTCCTGTTCATCCGATTATACACGCCGCAATTACCCAATTTAGCACTACTTTTGTCGAGCAATTTAGCGAATGACTGGGAACGGAATCGCGAATAAATGCAAATTTCAAATTGTTTATAGCAATGGTAAAGAAGAAGAGAAGCGGAGGGGGTTGTTTGTAAGTTAGTGGGACCATGCGTTTTTAAGTGGGAAACACCACAGGCAAGCAGTTCAATTGGTGGCAGCGACGGGTACAATCAAGCAGTTAAAAAATATAGCTAGAACTCAAAAACAAATCCAAAACTGTTAAATTGTAATAGAAAAGTTTTTATACAATAAATCTGTTTGTGCATTAGTTTAGATAAAGACATAGACATATTTTCGATTTTGAAGTATCGGCTATACCTTGATTGACATTTATCCAAAGAGTTTGTTTCGCTTGTTATTCTTGCAAGTGGTCCTAAAAATATTGTAGAAGCAGTAGAATGTCGGGCACAAAAGTTTGCCTTAACCCCAGATCAGCATCACTGATTATCATTCTCACAGAACGCCGACACCGCCGCACAATCGCAAATATTTCATCCTATGGCATCACTGACGAGCGAACTGTTGTTGCTGCCGTTCTTTTCACTTTCGTTTACGTTTTATTTGGCAATTTGTGTGTTTTGTTAACACCTGTGATATTTCGCCATCGGTTCGTGGCAGCAAGATGATGAGAATCGGTGGAAAACCCAGGACCAGAAGCAGCAGATAATAATAGAAGCCCAACAGAGGCTCCGAGTGTGTGCCTGTGTGTCTGTTGTGCGTCTGTGGTTGTGTGTGTTTTTGCAAAAAACAAAACCGGAAAAGCCAAAAACTAACAGACACGAATGCGGATGCGGATGTAGTTGCGGATGTTAAGCTTAAAGCGAATATTATCCCCTAAAACAAAATGCAAATTCTGCAAGTGCTTTTGGCAACGCTGTTGTGTAGCTTCGTTTTAGGCGCCAACATCCTCGCAGTTTTTCCCAGTGTCTGGAAATCGCACTATCTCTTTGGCCGGAGATTGCTTCAAGAGCTGGTTGGAAGTCCGGCAAATTATTCAGTGACCTTGATCAGTCCACATGCCGCCCAGGAAAATGCGGATGAGGGAATTCCCAGGATCAGGGAGCTGCGAATCGAGGGACTCCGGGAGAACTGGCTCGATATGGGAATGAGTTTCGAGGCCGAGGAAATGCGATCGCAAAGCGTGATGGAGAGGTTCACTCGACTGATCTACGCAGGCACAACCAATGTTGACATCCTACTGTCCGATCTCCAAGTGCGAAAACTCCTGACAAGTGGTGAAAAATTCGATCTGCTCATAGTGGATTTGTTTCTAAGCGATGCTCTGTTAGGGTGAGTTCAAAAACCATCTTCGCCCAGTTGTAGTTCAATAATAAAAATCTTTTATTCTAGCTTGGCTTTCTACTATGGCATACCCACCGTCGCAATCAGTCCCACCGGCGCCAATTCCTGGCTGAATAACATGTTTGGCAACCCGCAGTCCTCTTCACTGGATCCTAGCAATTTCTTACCCTTCACGGAGAGAATGAACACAAGACAGAGGATTTTGAACTCCCTAATGAGCACTTTCGAGCGGTTGACCTACAACTTCTTCCACCTGATCTCCCAACAATCGGTGTACACCAATCACTTTGAAATGCTTGTTAAGGAACTTCCGCTTTATAAAGATCTGACGAAGAATCTGAGCCTGGCATTGATAAACTCGCATCCTGGATTACATTATTCACGCGCCTATTTGCCAAATATGGTGGAAGTGGGAGGACTGCACTTAAGCCCCTCAAATGAACTCCAATTGCCAAAGGTAAGTGGATAGCTATTGCGTATAACCAATCTCTAATTTTAACTTCTTTCAGCATCTTTTGTCGTTCATAGAGTCTGCTCCTAGTGGAGTTATCTATTTTAGTCTGGGAGCAGATGTGCAAACAGCTCAGCTGCCTCAGGAGAAGCTGTCCATTATTCTCGATGTCTTTGGCCACCTTACGGAGTTCCACTTTCTGCTGAAATGGGAAAGGGAGGACTTCACAGTGGAGCAAGAGCTGCCAGCGAACGTGATGATTGCAGATTGGTGGCCGCAACAAGCGATTCTAAGCCATCAGCAGGTCAAGATGTTCATAAGTAGCTGCGGACAGTTGAGCGTCTGGGAGTCAATAAATGGACTAAAGCCCATCCTTGCCATACCCATATTGGCCGAACAGGAAGTGATGGCCAAGCGTCTGCACCATCATGGAGTCTCTTTGACCGTTGGCTACGACTCCATTGCTTATGATTCCCTGCTCCACGGAGTAAGGCAACTTACCCTTAACACCAGCTATGTGGAGAAGATGAATCAACTCAAAGAGCGACTGATTAGCAGCGATTCGTCGCCAGCTGAAAAGGCAGTGCGGAAGATCCAGCTTATATTGGATTCTGGAGGAGCTGACTTCCTCAAGTCCCACGCGAATACTCTAAACTTTTGGAGAGCCGAGGGTGTAGATGTACTACTCATCATAACCCTGGGCATTTCCGGAATTTTAATCATTCCCTTCTTGGCCATTTGTATTGTTTTAAGAAAGTCCTACCACAGCCAAGCGGCGCAGGATCAACCAGCCTGCAGAAGCAACCTTAAAGTAGTTGGCAGGGTGCATAGCTATGGAGATCAGGGCAGTTGCAAGTCCCCCAAAGGATCGGAGCCTCTCAGGAGAACGCGTTCAGCCCAATCCTTGTCGGCTCGGTCCAGCTCATCGAGCATGAGTTCCACCACACCCACGAGCCTGTCAACAGCATCCACCACTCCGCTGGACCTGACTCCACCGCCTGCGATTCAACTGCTCGGACAGGTACCGCCATTGCAACTGTACGTGAATCAGCAGCGGATATACTCAAGCGTTCGCAGGACTTCACAGGAGGAGAACGCCGAACGAAGGTGCTCATAACAAAATTCCGCGAAGAAACCATTAACTTTAACTTAGCGTGGATCAAATGGAAAGGATGATAAACTTAATCCAATTTACATCACGATGGTAAGCTAAGAGTAGGTTATCAACTATATTGTGCAGTTTACTAGCTGGACTTAGCCTAAGCAGCAAAAGTAAATTCGGTGGTTGATGGTGCGGAACTAATCTTTGGGCATTCAAAAGACACATGATTTTACTTCGATCAAATACTAATTCAAATTATATTCATTTTCAAGCTGACCCTCTTTAAAGTTTTTTATTTTTATTTAATAAATATATTTTGAATTGAACTAATTCATTAATCCATTTAAACGCTTTTAGTTGTCCAATGAGTAGTTTCTTATCCAGTAATCCAGTGTCACAAAAAATGATCCACCTTAAACTTACTCTATATATATATATATATTCGGAAAATAGTAGTAAGTGTGATTTTTGTTAATACTTGTGAATGTGTAAAAGAAAATTGTGGTTTTTATATTTGGATAAGTCTTAAAGGTTATAAATTGTATATATTTTTTACTGTATTTGGATTTTACTATTTCTGTTTGAGCAAAAGTTTTGATTTTAATGGAAGATCATTTTTACCGAACGAAGTATAAGAATATATAAGGAATCAAATTTGTTTTGTGTTTCTGATATAGTCAGAGCTGTTTGCCGCAATCGCTTTCAATTAATACTTCAATTCAAAGACTGAACAACTACTTTCGTATACCCTTCAAAAGACAAAAATATGCTTAAAAAACAATAAATGCGGTTAAACTGCACAGTTAAGCTCAAGCATGCATCTAAATATTGAAAGTATGTGTATTTCCTAATGATTAATTTCAAACTGAAATTATCAACTCAAATGTTTTTATGGTAAACCAATTGGAGTAAAGTTTTTAACATGTGCGAAAACTTTTTGCAGTTTTCGTGTCGGTTTATTTTGTTTTGATTATTTAGACTAAGAATATTTTATAAAGCCATGTATGAATTGTTAAATAAAATATTAAATATTCACCAGATATGGTACTGTTTTTAAATTTATATTTCTCGCCAATCGGTCTTCCTATCTTATACAAAACCAGAGATTTTTAAATTTGCTTTATTTAAAAACAAAATTTGGATTCATAAAATTCGCGAAATTTCTTTTTTCTCGAAACATTTTAAAAGTAATTTTAGAAGAATTTTAGAACAATATGTTTTCTGACAGTAAAAACGAATATACTTTGTTATACACAATATTAAATATACTAAATGTTTAAACTACCTCGTTAAAATTGGAGATGATGATTTGTTTCCCATTTAATCTTTTTATACCCTTACAGAAATAAAGTATAGACCCCATAAAGTATATATATTCCTGATCATGATCACGATCTGAATCGAATTACGTCTAAACGTCTGTCCGTCTGTCCTCCTGTCCGTTTCTGCCCAAACTTGTCTCTCAGTTTTAAAGCTATCTTGCTGAAACTTTCCCAAAAGGTGTGTAGTTATTGTACGCAGTATATAAGTCGGAATGGGCCGGATCGGGCGACTATATAGGATAGCTCCCACAAAAGAGATTGAAATAAAAAATTCTAACGCCGTTGTTTTTGATTAGATCGACTTGATTTCTTCCAGATGGCGTTTTTTAGCCACTATTGAATTTCGGATAAAATTTTATCAAAATCGAATAACTCCACCATATAGCTGCCATACAAAAGATAAAAAAATATCTATATAAATAATAAAAAAAAATTATAACGTCGTTATTTTTTATCCCATGAGCATGATTTTCAACACATGAAGTTTTTTAATAAGCCTTGAATCGAGAAAAAAATTTAATTAAAATCCGACAACGTTATCATATAGCGGCCATAGGAAAGATCGAAAAATCTTTATAGAAATACGGGAAATAAAATTATAACATCGTTGTTTTTCATCAGTTTTTTTTGGAATATAGAGATTTCAAACTGCTTTTGAATTGCATATTGAATTTCATCAAAATCGGACAACTATATCATATAGCTGCCATACGATCAATAGTCGAAAATATGAAAAATTAAAAGAAAAATCATCATAGTTTCAATGTTGTTTAGCCCTTATGCATTTTGATCGACATATTTGATGACTGCAAGGGTATATCAGCTTCGGGTTGCCGACCTTTCTTGTTCTCCAGTTAAGGGGTTACATGGGTTTCCTGGGGTAAAAAACGGCCTTTTTTCAAAAATTTTTTTTGCATATAAAAAATGAAATATTTCAATGAAACTTTTTATTATTTAAAAGATACATATTTAATAAAGATTTTGTGAAATTTTCAAAAAAAAATATCAAAATGTCGGCCATTACGACGCCATTTCCGGCAGTCCCTCGGAAAAAAGGTGCCTCCGCGTTGTCAGCAGAACTTCTTTCAGGATCATCCAAAGTAAAAATAAAAAAAAACGTGTTTCAGTATAGACAATAAACTAGGTATTGGACGAAGGAAAAAAAAAAAAAATGAAAATTGGATTTTTGGCAGACGTTTTTACAAAAAAATGCAAATTTCGATGAAAATTTCTCGACATTTTTTTTTTTTTAAATAGTTGTAAATGAAAAAAAAAAAATCCTTCGTTCAATACCTTGTAAATGATATCTCGAATACTTGTGTAAAATTTCATTAAGATCGGTTGAGTAGTTCGCGAGAAATTTTGACAACCGACTTTGAAAACATAGTTTTGAGAAAAACGCGTTTAAAGTTTTAAGAGACAATAAAAGTGTTCTCAAGCGTCCACCTTCTCAAGGCTGTATCTCCGAGACTATTACTCGGATCAATTTGAAAATTTAGGACAATATTCTAGAAAGGTTATAGAATTTAATAAGATAAAAAAAAAAATCGATTTTTTGAAACCGTGAAACCCATGTAACCCCTTAAATTAGCATTCCTTTTGACTTTCAATTTGAATAGCTCGGCTTAAATAAAATTCGCGTTTGTAGGCTAATCACTTGTTGTTTCACGTCTTTGTTTGAACTTCCCTCGTATCGTGGGCAATTCTTAATTCTCTCAGTTGGCATAGAACAGTTAGCGTTAATTATGGTTTCATATGCCATCTCGGGGGCAAGGGGGCGTGTCTAATTAGTTGACTGCGTCGGGCTAATGTCGGCGTACTTTGATGTGCATGGCGGCGTATGCACTTCATTTAAGCCGAGTGCGGCTCAAGTGTCTCTGAGGATGTGCCGCGGATGTGGGTGCGACTGCGGATGCTCCGCGCGGAGCAGGATGGAAGGATGCCAGTTGTTGCAGCCAAGTCACCTGTTTGCATTCATCAGTCCGCACACGTAGACAAAGGGAAAACGAAAGCAGGTGAGTGGAAATTGGGGGCGGAATACGAGTGGATGTGCCCTGTGGGTGGCACTTTTTCACCTGGCTTCCCGCCTGGTTTCCCTGTTAATAAAACTGTATTTATGCACAACTGCCAAAGGTGAGGAGCTACTGAAGAACCCTGGGAGGAAAATAAGCACGGGGCTCGGTTTCCCCTTTTATGCGCATATTTTTGGTTAGACATTGGAAATTCGATATGTAAACCACAAGTGACAAGACGCGTTGGTATTCCCATGGCATAACTCCTTTAGTCTGAAGGTCTCTGGCTAATTCTGGGTGGGCTTGTTCTCCATCGAGAATTAAATGTCATGTTGTGGCCAAGACTTAAAGGTGGCTTTCCCTAGAAGAATCGTTCTTTTTGTTGTGTGTTTATTTTGGTATAGATGAAGATTAAATAACTGAACTAAAAAGTTCACGAGATGTTAGGAGTGGCTTGTAAAACATTATACATTTCGTTTTATATATTCTATAAATAATTTGTGGGTGTTAGCGACCTTTCCAAACACCAAATATTCTATTAATATATTTTAAAGTTTTATTTGCTCTAAGGAAGTAATAAAAGGTTTTTGGGTTTTGTATTATTTCACTATATCTCTGCACCCTTAAAGGTCGCACTTAAACCACATCTAAAGCGCATATCTTAAGTTGCAGGTCAACTTCTGCTCTTGGTCGCTGTCAGCTTACCAAACCGACAGTCCGATTTGGTGTCACATCAAAGCCACACTTGTCCAGGGACCAGAGGGCTGGTCTGGGAAGTCCCAGGAAGGGGGGAGCATAGTGGAGCGGAGTGGAGGCCATAGGCACGACCGCCAGTCGCGAGTGTCAACCGCAAGAAGAGCGCCGGAGTCAAGTGAAGACTTCTCGCATTGACAGGCGACCAGTGCAGTCGGCCACAACATGAGCTCATGAGAGGGGGGAGCGGAAGGTACACTGGAAGAAAATAAGGGGGGATGAAGAACGAACTCAGCAAACGAATTTCCCGACAAATCGGAAAGTACTGCCCACGTCCAGGCGTCTCGTTGGAGTGTTAAAGCAAAAGATTTTGTAATTACCTGAGTGTTGAGGGTGTTAAAAAAAATAAAATTAGTTGAACATCCAACTTTTACCAATAACTCTAGTTTATAAAAAATAGCGCATAAATTAAAAATTTTTAATTGATTCTTAGGGTAGTTATCCTTGATTGAACATGAGCAATTATAACCAAGTAAATCTGTAAGGATAAAATTTAAAAGCCCATCAGATGAGACGACTTCCTCTAGTATCTACAATTCTCAAAAGTTTATTGCTTGGGGCTTGAATTATAAAGAGCTACTGAATAATTGGATGAATTTAATATAACCTGATAGTTTTTTAAGAGCTTAAATTATTGTAATTTACTTTAATCTGAAAGCAAATGTTTTATGTATGACATGTTATAATTTGGACTCCTCTTACAATTTCACGTGAGATTTTCTGAAGAACAATAGGAAGTATTTTTTTTAGTGTACGGCAAGAATTTGACATTCCGAGGTCTCGGGTTACGGCCATGGGAACAGAAAGAGTTCGAATTGGTTTTGGCCGGCACAGGGGCTTCCCCTCCCCTCTTCGCCCCGCACCGCTATTACCCATTAGCGCTGCTGTCAGAGGTCCCATGGGGATCCATTGGGGAGGCACGGCATCAAAGGCCCCCATTGACAGAGCTGCCGAGTTGTTGTCATCATCTGTCCACGGGCGGCTCCTTTCAGCTCCTTTGAAGTCGGGGCTACAAAATTAATTGCATGCTACACAAATCCCTCCTTGGCCCATCTGGCAAACTAAAAACTAAAAACTCTAAATCAACAATCATCATAACTATAACTTTGTACTGGCCCAAAGGGAAAGGGACGGGGGTGAAGGGAGGGGAAGGGAGAGGGGGGCGTTCGTGCTGTCAACATGCTGCCAGTTGCTTTGCTCGCTTCATTCCCTCCCCCCGTATTTTCAACACTTTTGTTGTTGTTGTTGGGAACACACTTGACTCTTGCCACGCCAAATCCCACGCAGTACACACGAAAATAATACAGTTCGAAAATAATCTTACAGTTCACATTATTTATCTTTGGGCTCGATAGATTTGATTTTCTTATATAAGATAAAAAACAAATACTACAAATTGTTCAGCGTTAACTAAACAAATTGAAGGACAGGTTGTACTGATGTTTGGCATTTAGAACTGGATTTCACTTAGCTAACAAATCAGATTAAAAGGTACAATATAATAAAGAGAAATAAATATTTATATTATATCAATAAATAATAAAAATAATTTATTTATTTTTCAAGTTCTTCAATGTATGCCAAATACATGGAATATTTTTTGGCAGTGCCCAACAACACGAACATATGCAGTGCTCGTCATTCCTTCCACTCATGGAGTTTCCGGCTTTTGTGTGCATTTTGCACTCTGTTTCAATTTAATTACTTTCGAGTTACGCAACCAGGACACAGGACAAAGTTCCCCGGGATGTAAATGGAGCAGTAGCCGAATGATTTAGATGCGCTCACTCTCCGCTGCAGTCTTCAATTTAAAATTCATAATTCACAAATTAAATTAGATGTGAACGAAATCCTGAGTTGAAATCCTCGGCAAAGGATAACACAGTTGTTAAGGCGAAAGCCACCGCTTTCCAGGTTTCGTTTGCACAAATTTGCATTTATCGATTGGGGCAGACGACAGGTCCGAACGGAGGCTTTTTCAGATTTCTGTTCTTTGCTGTTGTTTTTTGGGTGACACACAAAAAATAACAACACAATTTGCATAAACGTCAACAGCAGCAGAAGGAAAAGAAACAAAATGCGGCAGCTGTTGCAGCAGCAAGGAAAAACAACATCAGAATAAGTAAGTAGGGGGTATATGGACAGGATAAATCGCCAGGGAGGATGGGAGTCCTGATTGCGAGGTTAAGACAAGGAATCCTGCTGTCAGTTTTATGAGCTGAATCAAAGTCCACAAATATCAAATGGTAAAAGTGAATTTCCGACCGCAAGCAAATATGGTTTTGACTCAATCGAGGGTATTCCGACTTAAAAGAATTAAAACAAAGATCAATACTTCCAGGTTAGCAACCAAAAACACCATTTAAATGTTAGAACAATGTTTTCAGTGGTTGTACAATAACAGCAGTATTCAAATAGTTACTTAGAACCTAATTTTTAGTTATTTGTTTTTCTTTTATTACATCTTTAATACATTTCGTATTTTAAAAATAATTTCATGTACGGATGGTAAATATAGCGCATTATACAGCTGGTCAACCCATTTTTTCATATTGTCTTCTTGTTTATATTTTGTAGAAGGGTACATTTCTTCTACGTTTTGTGAAGAACCACTTCTAAGCAAAAAGTGTTCCGCGCTGTCGTATGCAAAACGACGGTCTCGTTGAGGCGCCTGTTATTTAACAAGTAATATAAATCTGAATATGATATATGCCGAGATCTATCAAGTATGTTTGACTTACTGACCTTTTTTTCATTAGGTATAATTTAAATCGTACAAGCTAGAATTATAATAGATTTAAATTAAGGTTTTAAAATACTTTGATGCTTACAATTAATTTAATTATGTTTTGTAAGTTAGTAAAAATTAACTGATTTCTTAAAAACAAACAATATTATAACTATAACAATCCTAATACCTAATAAAAGGATTTTGGTTAGTACAAGATCCATTTATTAAATTTTGATGAAAAGATTTAATAATCCGTTTGCCATGTAAGTACAAAATGTATAATATATAATTAAAACACAGAGATGCACTCAGTTACGTAGTCATTTTTATTACTCCCTCACCAACTTGAAACAAGTATGTTTGCCTAATTTCCAAACTTTTCCAACCAGTCTCCTTATGGACTCTATTTGAATACCAAAAGTCCAATTTTGTTGACCAAAAACCCTTTCCCAGGTTTCACATGACTCTTTTTATACCCTTGCAGAGCAAAAGGGTATTATAATTTCAGTCAGAAGTTTGCAACGCAGTGAAGGAGACACCTCAGACCCCATAAAGTATATATATTCTTGATCAGCATCACGAGCAGAATCGAAATATGTATGTACGTCTGTCCGTCTGTCCGTCTGTCCGTCTGTCCGTCTGTCCGTCTGTCCGTTTCCGCGCAAACTAGTCTCTCAGTTTTAAAGCTATCGTGCTGAAACTTTCCCAAAAGTTGTGTAGTTGTTGCACGCAGTATATAAGTCGGAACGGGCCGGATCGGCCGACTATATCGGATAGCTCCAATACAAGAGAATGAAATACAAAATTCTCACTCTATTGTTTTTCATCAGATCGACTTGAATTCTTCAAGATGGCGTTTTCTAACTGTTATTGAATTTCGGATTAAATTTGATCAAAATCGGATAACTCTATCATATAGCTGCCATAGGAGGGATCGAAAATTATATATAAAATTAATGGAAATAAATTGATAACATCGTTGTTTTTCATCAGACAAGTATGATTTTTGGAATATAGAGTGTTCTTACGACTCTTGAATTACGAGTTAAATTTGATCAAAATCGGACAACTATATCGTATAGCTCCCATATGATCTATAGTCAAAAATATGGAAAATGAATAGAATAATCGTCTTAGCTTCGATGTTGTCTAGCCTTTATGCGTTTTGTTCGACATATTTGATGACTGCAAGGGTATATAAGCTTCGGCTTGCCGAAGCTAGCTTCCTTTCTTGTTTTGCATAACTTTATTGTGGCTGTCACGGTTATGACTCTTGTTACTTTTGTTGGCAACTTTAAAATGCACTCGAACACGGTTTAAACTTGTCTGTGGGAGTGTGCATTAAGGGGGCGGAAACGTCAGAAAGGGGGTGTGGCGCTGGGGGCGGGAACGGCAGGAAATGTATCCCATAAGGAGTAGACCAGGAACAGAACAGAGCGGAAGGCACTTCCTGTGGATGTTTGTGTGTGTGTGTGTGTGTTTCTTTTGCATCGGTCCTCGGTACTGTCCTGCCTCTATTCCCGTCCTGCTTCCACTCTCCCTCTCGCTCCCACCAACCGCTTGGCTCGATGCAGATAAGAGGCATATACGCTTGTCAAGATTTGCTTTGATATCTTTTTCATGTGCCCGACTTGGGTGCGGCCTGCTCCGTGTCCAATGCTCCATCTCAACAGGGAAAACAATTTTTATTAAAAAAAAAATAAATATTTGTCGCATCTATTCAGATACCGTATTTATTTATTTTTTTTTTGAATGATGATCCTAACTTTTTTTTTAAGAGTAAAGCTAACAATTTTTAATGTTCCTATTGTTTTATGATATTTTTTAATTTGTATATAACATTGAAAACTTTTTCATAGCAGATTAATATTTTAAATGGCTTACAATTTTTTTTCTAAACAGTATCCTCATTAACAATTTACCAAACTTTTTGTATGCTACGAAACTAGAATAAATTAATTTATATTTTAAATGGCTTACAATTTTTTTTTTTTAATATTAATTTCATTAATGATTACCCGATCATAACATATAAAACTAGAATAAACTAGAACAGTTTTAATATCTATTTCATGCCGCATTTAAGAAACTAAAACATATTTTATTACTATATTATATTATATTTACTTATATTATATTTCAATGGTACTTTATTACCTTATCATTGAATCTGTTGCTTTTCGCAGTGTATGCCTTTTTTTTTGCTTAGCTCTACCGCTCTTGTTCCCTCTGTGTGGGTTGACAACAATTAAAAAGTGACGGGCAAAACAAATCGGCAGGAAGGGGTGGAGGGGAGGAGGGGCGGCGGGTCTACCGAGTTAAGTAGCAGCAAATATACAAAAAGCAAAATCTCTTTTAGAACCATTTCAATTGCCTTTTGTTTATGCGAGAGATTTCCCCCGGCCAGCGCCCTCAAATTCGCTTTGAAGTCGAGCATTTCCATGGTACGTCACGGTGTGAGTAAGTTTTATTTTTGGTAGCGAAGAAATTTTATTAGCAAAAGGGTTGGGAAAGCGCTTTGAAGTTCAAGTGTAGGCGCAGCAGCGGCCCCATTGATATATTTATTTCCACACACAATCATTTGCTTTGTGGCCGTCGCAAATTGAAATATCGCATCAATTTGCCATGCCGCCGTCGCGCTTTGTAATAAAAGTAAATAATAATTTAATAAAAAGGCAGCAAAAACCACCGCAAACTACAAAACGAAACACCGAAATGCGGCGCAAAAAAATCGAAAATCGAGTGAGTAAAATCAACCATTAAATGCTGCCGGCAAAGAACAAAGCCGAAGCAACAGACCGGCAAAACCGACAACAGCTGGCCGAAAAGCAAAAAAGCTAAAAAAGAGCCGCTCGGCGGAGGGGCGGCAATATCACCCTCTATGTGTCAGTTGGCCGGCCGACAGCGGCCCACCGTCGAACCTGCCGCGCATGCGCATTGCGCACAATCCCGATGTGTGTGGTTTTCAGCGCTGCCCCTATAAAAAGGTCAAACAATTAAAAAAATTAAAATATAATTAACACGTTTTGTTTAAAAGCGGAAGTGAATTGATTCAAATAAAATATGTTTTAATATTTTTTTTATTTGTTATTTTCAAACGAAGTTTTAAACTCTTATTATGTCTTTTATTATTATGCACTATTTTTTCAACATTTTTAACCAAATTTCTAACTTTTTATCTGTTTTTTAATTGATTTTGTCATTACTGGAATTAAATATTTAATCCCTTTGGGCATCTGAGGAAAGTTATAAAAAATAATTGGTCGTTATTTGAAGTTGAAAACAAAACACGGGTTTCCATACAGATGCTTTAAAAAAGGATAGATCTAACCAAGAAAAGTGCAAGATGCCAACACTGGTGGGACCTGGCTTGAAGTCGACCGAGATGCCGATGCCAACCGCTTCAAATTGATTTGAACGAGCGCAAAAGCTTTTGGACAAGTTGATAAGAGTAAAGATCCGACAGCACCGTTTTGCTGGCATTGTAGTCGGGATTTATCTTTGTATACACTTTCGAAATGCCTTGTTGCTATTAATTTTAGATACCTAATGAGAATAAGAACTATTGTCGAATAATTTTGTCCAGTTTACGACTGCAATAATTGGTGAACGAATTCTTGTTATTACATTTCTCAGCAATTGAATTCCCAAAATTTTTCTTTTTAAAGCAGTAATCGAAAAATACATTTAAACCCAAGCTCAAAATTTTCCTAAAATTGCTATACCTTTTGTCTACAACTATAAGATTAATAAATGAATTTTGTACAATCCCTTCTATAAACTCATATCTTCATTATATAATAAAAATCTAAGGGTGTATAATCACGTCGACTTGCATCGTTTATCGGCGGCGTTTTATCTCAATTTTTCGCACGGGTGGCTTTCGACGTGGCTGAACTGTCCGGTGAGATTCGACTCTCGGCTGAGATGTCGGCGCAACTTCAAAAGGTGTGTGATGGGCGAATGTGTGAGGTGGCCGCCTGCGGGCCTGGCTAAGATGAACATGCCCACATGCAGGCGGAAAAATGGGGAGGAGTGCCTGGAGAAGGAGGATCGGGTCTGTCCAGCTAATCAAGCATCAACTTCATCATCATCAACGTGGATGCACCGTGAACAGTTAGTCATATAGGAAATGCATGGGTAATCGCAGGGAAACGAGCGGAAGAGCTATGATACATTTGAGAAGAACATAATTTCACAGTTAATTAGAGAAATTTCAACAAAAAAATGTTTAGAGGGATGAGGAAATTAAACTACTTTTCATACTGTTAAATGCTCCATTGGTGCATAAAATCTCTTATGAGATATCTATTGAAGTTTTGTTTAAACAGTGCTATTTAAAATTAATATCGGCAACTATGTTGTACAATGAGACCGTGGTTTTCTGTATTTGCATTCGAAATTCGAAGCAATAATTTAAATCACAGTTGCTCTTACAACGTGCGTATTTTGCTTTGTTTCCTGTGACCTTTAAACATGTTTTTTCTTTTTTTTCGTGTTTTCACTCGTGTTTATACGAGCAAATTTGGTTGCAGCAATCAACTTGCTGCAAATTGTTTGCATCGTGTGTTCCTAGCTTTAGAATTACCAACTTATTTTTTCCATTATGACTTAATTGTATTTAAGATGGAATTGTAATGTTTAAAATGATTGTAATCCCTCTAAAAAAACGAATACAAATAAGTTAAATTTTTGGTAATTTTTACCAGCAATAACTAAAAGTCTTTTCATTTATTTCTAATTATTATTTGTAAATTCTTTTATACACACCTCTTTAAAATCAATTTGTTTTAACCCACAGTAATGCAGAATGGTCATTATTTATGTATTTAATTATATTGTTTTTTCATTATGGCAGTAAACTAAGCACAAGTAAACAATAAAGATAATAATGGGTCAATACAGTATATGTATTTCATTTACCAAATATACTTTATGAAATGAAGAGAACATTCGGAACAGTTGCAAGCACGATCATCTTTATAATATCGCTAATTTTGTTTGAAAGCTCGGACTGTCTTTTTAAAGTAACCAATATAAAGTGTCAGTGTTTCGATGATAAATTCTGCAGTTTTCCACAGTGTGAGCTCAAGGTGTTGGGCCGTGGAAAAGTCGGAATATTTGTTTACACCAAGATCCATCAGCTACCAATAAAAAGAGTTCTTGTAATAATTCAAGTTTTAATAAAATTACAATACAATTAATAATTTTTGAGTTTTAGGTCAATCTTAGCCTGCATAGGAAATTTAGCGGTTACCGGCCTTTTATGTACAATGTTACTTTGGACTTTTGTAATTACATCCGAAACCCAAGACGATATCCCTGGTTTGGCATCGTCCACGAGACAATGATCAATTTTACCAATGTGAATCATAGTTGTCCTTATAATGTTGGTATTCTTTACTTATTTTTATTTGTTTGTTTTTTAATGGAAACACTTTTTTGCAGCATGACCTAATTGTGTCCAAGATGGTTTTGAGTGACAGCATGCTGGAGAAAACACCTTTTTCAACTGGATCGTATATGTTCCAACTAATGGCTGGAAATCCCGAGTGGCAGGGCATCGCCCATGTTATGACGGATATTGTAGAGAAGTAGATGTAAATAAATAAAATCAAATGCAGAGAAAATTTAGCCAGATTCAGCAGTTAGCTGAATGCATTTAACTTTATTTTTAGTCAGCATCACGATCTGAATCGAAATGCGTCTGCTTGCCGTAGCTAGCTTTCTTGTTTGTTTTTTATTTTCCAATTTTTGTTTCACACACCACTTAAAAATTTATAAGTTTTTACACACCTGGTTATTATTTATGTATTAAATTATAATTTTTTTCTCATTATGGCAGCTAATTATGCCAACCCGAGCAAACTATTAAGGTATGAAAGCGTCAGCACAGTGTATGTGATTTATTTACCAAAAATACTTTATGAAATGAAGGGAACGTTCGGAATAATTGCAAAAACCCTCATCTTTATAATTTCGTTAAATTTTATTGAAAGGTCGGACTGTCTTTTTAAAGTTACTAATATAAAGTGTACGTGTTTCGATGACAATTTCTGTAGTTTTCCGCGTTGCGAGCTGAAGGTGTTGGGCCGTGGAAAAGTCGGAATATTTATTTACACCAAGCTACATCAGCTTCCATTAAAAAGAGTGCTTGTAAGATTTTACATTCTAATACAAGTTGATTAGTAATATATTTATTGTAGGTGAATTTAAGCCTGTTTAGGAGATTTAACGGCTTACGGCCTTTTATGTACAATGCTACTGTGGATTTTTGTAATTACATGCGAAACCCAAGACGATTTTCCTGGTTTGGCTTAGTCTACGAGTCAATGATCAGTTTCACGAATGTGAATCATAGCTGTCCTTATAACGTTGGTATCCTGTATACACAATTATTTAATATTTAATGAAAAATACATCTTCACCAGCATGACCTAATTGTATCCAACATGATTTTGAGTGACATTATGCTGGAAAAGACCCCTTTTCCAACTGGATCGTATATGGTTCAGCTAATGGCCGGAACTCCCAAGTGGCAGGGCATGACCCAAATTAAGGCGGATATTGTAGAGAAGTAGATGTAAATAAATAATATCAAATGTACATATTTACCTTTTAAAAATCGATTTGTTGTAATGCAGAATGGTTATTATTTGTGTATTAAATTATAATTTTGTTTTCATTATGGCAGTAAACTATGCCCGAGTAAACTGTAAAGATATTAATGAGTCAACACAGTATATGTGTTTCATTTACCAAAAATTCTTTGTGAAATGAAGAGAACATGCGGAATTGTTGCAAACGCGGTCATCTTTATAATATCGCTTAACTTGTTTGAAAGCTCGCACTGTCTTTTTAAAGTAACCAATATAAAGTGTCGGTGTTTCGATGATAAATTCTGCAGTTTTCCACAGTGCGAGCTCAAGGTGTTGGGCCGTGGAAAAGTCGGAATATTTGTTTACACCAAGATCCATCAGCTACCAATAAAAAAAGTGCTTGTAATAATTCCAGTTTTATTAAAAATATGATTAATAATATTTTAGTTTTAGGTCAATCTTAGCCTGCATAGGAAATTTAGCGGTTATCGGCCTTTTATGTACAATGTTACTTTGGATTTTTGTAACTATATCCGAAACCCAAAACGATATCCCTGGTTTGGCATCGTCCACGAGACAATGATCAATTTTACAAATGTGAATCATAGTTGTCCTTATAATGTTAGTTTTCTGTTCATATTTTTATTCTTTTGATTTTTAATGAGAAATACTTTTTTCCAGCATGACCTAATTGTGTCCAAGATGGTTTTGAGTGACAACATGCTAGAGAAGACACCTTTTCCAACTGGATCGTATATGTTTCAACTAATAGCTGGAAATCCCAAGTGGCAGGGCATCGCCCAAGTTATGACGGATATTGTAGAGGCTTAGGGTTGAAAGAAAGACATATTAGCAAATAAAATCAAACCTAACTCATCAGTTAGCTGAAGGCATTTCACTTTCACACTCAATCTGCGCATGCGTGAGTCCTTTTGCTCAGGAGGAACGGCCAACGTGTCGTATGAGTTATGGCTATCGAATGGGCACACGTGTGGCCACCAGGCGAATGGCCTGTAAATCAAACTTTTTGGCAGGGCGTGTAAACAGTGTTATAAATCAGAAAACCGCAAGGCACCCACCAGGCAGCGACCATATTGTCCATGGAGGAAGTCAGACAGACAACTGGCAGTCTGAAGTTGGAGGAAAAGGCGCCCACGCAGCCGGGAAAATGCTGAGGCGGATTGCAATGCCCCAGGATGCAAGTGACGCATAGAGCTATTAACATATTAGTTGCAGGGAGGGTGCGTGGATATCACATTCAGTTGGTGGGTGGGTGGATATCACATTTAGTTGGTGGGTGGAAGTGCGTGTCTAAGATTTAGATTTAGAGCTTCCAGCGCATATTTGTGCATTCTGAGTACCCTAGGAGCAGAACATGGGAATTTAATTAAAACCAAACACTGCCAGAGCAAGATATTTATCACTTTTGTTTATGAAGAACACCCAAAACAATATTTTAGTTGAGCATAACTAACAAGGCTCGAAAGTGGCGCACACGCACATCCAGTGTTTAATTATTATTTGATTTAATTGTCAATAGCAAAAATATTACTTTTTATTATCATTAATTTTTTTTTGTATAAAAATATAACTTTACATACTCGCCCTCAAAAGTAAAATTTATTTAACTAACTGCCACATAGACGGTGTCATTATACCCTTGCAGAGCAAAGGGTATTATAATTTTGGCCAGAAGTTTGCAACGCAGTGAAGGAGACACCTCAGACCCCATAAAGTATATATATTCTTGATCAGCATCACGATCTAAGTCGAAAAACGTCTGTCCGTCTGTCCGTCTGTCCTCCTGTCCGTTTCTGCCTAAACTAGTCTCTCAGTTTTAAAGCTATCTTTATTTCATCAAAATCGGACGACTATATCATATAGCTGCCATATGAACAATAGTCCAAAATATGGAAAATTAATAGAAAAATCGTCATAGCTTCGATGCTCTTTAGCTTTTATGTATTTTGTTCGACATATTTAGTAACTGCAAGGGTATATAAGCTTCGGCTTGCCGAAGCTAGCTTCCTTTCTTGTTTTTTTTTAACAATGGCCACTGATTAAGAAATTCGGTTATTGCGATAAGAAAATTTACTTTTTATCGGTTTTGAATGTTAAATTCATTTCGTATCAATTGAGCTTCTGAAGTCAAGAGTTATGCAGTAATAGGCTAAGAAATAAAAAAAAGCCTCGAAGCTTAATATGCTAAATAAGGTGGCAATTCCTCAGGAGCCACTTCTACCTATACTATAAAGAAATCTAATCCATTATTTATTTCGCACTATAAAAAAAGGAATAGATTTGGTTTCGTGCAATAGTTTGATAATAGTAAACACTTCCATTACTAAACATTGCAGAGCAAATCATTTGGAATTGTTTTTCATTTTGGTATTTAAACTTTACTTCTTAAAAGTTATAAAATATCGAGAGATAAACGACAAAGAAGAGTTTCGAGCACCGACAAATATCGGCAGTCATTCGATTCGGGTTCGGTTGGATACAGGGGCTGCTGAATATGGATATGACTTGGTCGGTCCTCCGACTGGAAATGGAACTGAGTTCTTCTCTCCGATGAGAATGTGTGTATGCCTGTATATATGAATACACGAGTACATGCATAGTGTTCGTTGAGTGATGTGCGCATGGATAATGAAGCAATGACGGCATGAATGACTGAATGAGGCGGCAACCTCTGTAAGATCGGAGGGTTCCCTCAAAGGGGCAGCCGCCGATGCACGACTCCGCCAGCGACTTGAGCTCCGCTTGCGGCTTGAGCGTTTAATTAAAAGGCAACAAAAAAGAAAAAAAACACAAAATAAAGGAAAATATACAAAGAAAAAGGCGGCAACTGAGGCGTCGGCCAGCAGTTGATCATTATCAGATACGGCAGCGTAGATAATGCGAGATACGATCTTGGAGTCGGGTGAGTTGGGGAGTGCTATTTGCTATTTCTGGGCAGCACTTTAAAAAATGATTTTTACTTTTCGCCTGGCCCCAAAAGTAATGCCCTCCCCTCCATCGTTTCTACTAGCTGTCTGCAATTTACGATTGGAGCGTAGAATAAATGGAAAACTTTATTTTGGTCAAAAGCGTGTGGAAAAATAATTGAATATGCA